AAAACAATCTGCCCATGTGGTGACACTGTCCCATGTCTAAACCCCGTCGCTGGCTCTTCCTCTGCCACAGTCCTCCCTGGGAGGCCTTCCTTCCCACCTGTGTCCCCCTCCTTAACACACACTTTACACTAATCCAACCCTGGATGCTTGTGGTTTGTACTTTGCTCCAAGCTCTCTCAGTGCCTTTGCTTGTGTTGGACCCTCTGATGCTTAGAGCAGGGGAGCTCACTTCCCGGTGTGTCGGGGAAGAAACATGATCGCGGACAAGCTGACCCTTTCTGTGTATTCTGTGCCACTGACACAAAAGAACTCATAAAAGGAAGGGAGAAACAGTATCCTTAAGTCATGTAGAAATTAAGAGTAAGTAACGATCAATCATACAGGAGATGGAATTCCCCTGCCTTAATCTTTCCTACGTGGTCTTTTTCTAATTCAGAGCATCCGTGCTCTCTCAGTCCTTCATTCCAGTTACTGCAGAGTAGCGAGCAGCTTACCAAAGCCAGCTCTTACCTGCCAGGACCCTCTCAGCGTTCCTCCGGTAGCCGTCTGCAGCTTCCGCCATGAGTCGGGCTGTTGTCAAGTGGTTCAGCATAATCTCACAGCTTTCATCGTTTTTTTCCCACATGTCAGTTCCTTCAAAAGCGACAGCCTCGCGCTCCATTAAGGTCACAAGAGGCATCAGCAGGGGGACTGATACGTTGTTTGGGGGTGTACACGTGGACTCTGAAAAAACATACGATGTGGAAAACTTTACCCCTTGTTTTTCAAAGTTAAGTACAGATAATTGCAGTCGAAGAGGGCAACGCAGGAGGAGCCTGGGCTCACCTCCTGCGTGGACACCAAATCTACGGCTAAATACAGGACGGCTACCTCTAAAAAAACCCCTATGCACTGGGCAGATGAGAGAAGACCCACATCAAAGCAGGCAGCAGAGGGTGGGGCACAACCGCACCATACACCCCACTCCTGGCACAGCGACCCATAGTCAGGAGGGAACTCAAAACCTGGAGCTTCCCCCTGAGAAGCGAAGGGCTTGAACCCCACATGAGGCACCCCAACTTTTAAGACCTGCACCTGAGATACGAGCCCCCAAAACATCTAAATTTGAAAACCAGCAGTGCTTGTATCTGCAGGGTTATAATCACTTGAGAAACAGTTCTTACAGGGCTCGCGAGTGTGAGCTCAGTGCGGAGGCAGCCAGTCAGGAAGCGCCTGGACATTATACGAAGGAGGCTCATTAGCTAATCTTGAAGCTTTGGCCTGAGGGCCAGGCTTCTGGTTTGGCATACAATAATACCCCAAAAATATACTGAACTCATGACAGCAAAAAAAAAATCCAGTTGAAAAGTGGGCAGAGGACCTGAGTAGACATTTTTCCAAAGAAGACAGACGGACGGCCAGGGTAGACAAAAAGGAGCCCCAAGTCACTAACCCTCATGGAAATGCAAATCAACTACAACGCTGTGTCACCTCACAGCTGTTAGGATGATCAGTATCAGAAAGACAAATAACAAGCGTTGGCAAGGATGTGGAGAAAAGGGAGCGCTTGTGCACTGTTGGTGGGAAGGTAAATTGCTTCAGCCACTATGGAAAACTGGAGGTTCCTCAAAGAATTAAAAACAGAACTGCCATATAGTCCAGCAGTGTCACCTGTGGGTGCTTACCCGAAGAAAGTAAAAACATTAATTTGAAAAGATAGATGCACTCCTCTGTTCACTGCAGTATTATTTATAATAACCAAGCTGTGGAACCAACCTAAATGTCCATCAGTGGATGAATGAATAAAGAAGGTGGAAAATACATACATATAAAAATACACACACACGTACACACAGCGGACTATTATTCAGCTATTAAAGAATGAAATCCTGTCATTTGTGACAACACAGATGGAACTGAGGGCATTATGCTAAGTGATGTAAGTCAGAAAAAAAGAAACACCATGTGAGCTCACTTATATGTGGGCAGGTAAGGGAAGACGCCCTCCAGCTCACAGGTGTAGAGAACAGACTGGTGGCTGCCCGAGGTGGCGGAAGGGGTGGAGTGGAACCACGAATGGGGTCAGAGGTGCTTTCCACTTATGTAGTGAGTAAGCCACGGGCTGTGGTTAATAACACAGTATTGCACATTTGAAAGTAGCCGGCAGAGTGGATCTGGGAAGTTCCCACCATGAGAAAAAAAACTGGTGGTAGGTGTTCACTGGACTCACTGTGGTCATTCTGCAACAACACAAGAATCCAGTCAGCACGTTGCACGCCTGAGGCCAATACGTCGCTTATGCCTCAGTTTACAAAGTTAAGCAAAGAATGAGCTGCCCGGTCGCCCGTGTCTCATTTCTGGCAACGGCAGGCCTTCTACAAGCAATGCTGTCATCTGATAAAAGCCTCGGTGACCCCTCAGCAATCCTGCAAAGAACTCGAAGCCTCATAAGCAGCTCTGCTCAGTGCTTTGATCAGACCAGAACCGACAGGACACTCGGGCCCGCACCGCGCAGCCGGTGCTCACCTCTGCCTTCGTGCAGAATTTTGCTGAAAGGCTTCAGCTGTTTCTCGTAGAGGATGGCGGTTTGGGTGTACTGGTGCCGCAGGGCAGTCCACGTTTTTTCTAACCTCCTGATCTGGAAGAAAGAAAGGTGCTACTGTTTTGGAAAAGGCTCTTTTTAAAACTACCTTTTTGCTTAAGTTTTGGAATGGGTGATAGATGTAGATGGTAAAAACTCACAGCAGTTGAACAGTGTACAGAGAAAAGCTGATCCCCCACCCCCACCCCGCTCCGCGTTACTCTAATGGCCCATCAAGACACACGCACACCCCTTTTCAAATAATTAAAAGCATATCATACTATACAATATTCTCCTGTTCCTTGTTTGGGAATTACTCCATATAAGTACATACAAAACAGCATAGAACAGCCTCATTTTGTTAAACTCCTGCCTAATGTTCCATTTTATGCATAAACTGTGGTTTAACTAGCTTCCTATAGATAAGAGCTTTAAACATTTTTTTTATTACAAAATTACCTCAGATTTTGCTGATGTGCACAAGGATGAAAATATCTGGAGGTAAGTTTCCAGAAGTGGAAGAACTACTGGGTCACAAAATACATGTATT